GAGGGGGTGGGAAGGGTCCTGCCCTCCCCTGCGGGCTGAGCGCTCCCGAGGTCGGTCGGTCGGGTTGAATTTAGAAAAACCCTTCTATTTTTACCAGAAAATGTGCAAGGAAATGAAATAAAGAGGAACGACACAGGCAAGCGGATGCGACCGCTGGCGTTGACTCTGCTGAAAGTGCAGGGCTGGGGTGCTGGGAGCAAACCTGCCCCACGGGCACCCTGAGAGCCCCCAGAGCGGGGAGGGACCCCAGACACCCCCGTGACCCCCGCGGGCAGCAGCCCCAGGCACCGGGGGGTCCATACCAGGCTCCCCTCCAGCCTGGAGGAGCCCGAGTTGTGGCTCATCCTCACCCAGGTCCCCTCTCCGATGTTCAGGGAAGCTCCAGGAGGTCTCAGCTCATCTCAGCATAGAAAAAGGAACGTTTTTAATACGATGGAAATTTCAATGGGATGGAAAGAACGTTTCAGAGTTTCATTTCCCCCAGCTTGGAGAGGTCTGGGAAGGTATTTGGGGCATGGGGAGGATTTTTCCTGTCCTTTTATGTAGCCTGGCCCTCACGCCGTCTGTCACACGCAACCCTCTGCTCAGACTGAAGGTTTCATCCTCCTAGAAGACAAAACTTTCACATGCCTGCTCTTTCCCAGGGATATTTATTTTTTTAAGCCATTAACACCTGAAATATCTGTAATGGGAAAAGCTGGTGGTGCCCCATGACACGAGTGGGTGCTGGGGAACAGGCTCCAGGGAGAGCAGGGGCTGTGCAGACAACACTGGGTTGGCTGGAACTGATTGATAAGACTTTCAAAAAATGGTATTTAGAGAAAGAGGAGGGATTTAGAGTCTGGGAATGCTGGCTGCAGCGTAGGGCTGCCAGCTGAATGCCTGACACTGCCGTTTCCTGTTAGTGAAACTCCTGAGAGAAACCCAAAGTTGGTGCCTCTGCTCCCGAGCGTGTTCCCAGCTCCCCAGCCCCTGCTCCCCGCCGAGCCCCGGAGAGGCACAACCCCCTCTCCTCTCTCCACCACCAAATATAGTTGAAAACCAGAAGCTTGAAATATTCCGGGAGGAATTTTTTCAAGCCTAAGTCATGTTCTCAATAACCTCCTCTCGGTGAGTCTGGGTCTGATGTCAACATCTGCAGTGATTAAGAGAGAGCGAGCAGCGAGGAATGCGTGGAATGGAAACTCAGCTGAGTGTGAAACCAGGAACAATCATTTTCTCTTCCTCCAAGAGCTCCTCTCCCCTCAGAGGCCTTCCAGACCCACCAGCGCTGCGGGACCAGCCTGGCCAGACCCAGGCTGGGAGGTGCAGAGACCCAGCCCAGCTCTGGGGAGGGGTGTGAGGACAGATGGGGCAGGGACGTGCTCAGCAGCTCCTCTGGCTCTGGGGGGATTTTCCTCCTCATCCCAGGAGGGTTTTATCCACTCCCCGCAGCAGGGAGAGTCTGGCAGCAGCAGCAGCAGCACCATTTTCTCTGGTATTGCTGCCAGGGGCTCCCCACCTCGTTAGCCCCATGGTGTTTAATTACCAGAGTCGATCAGAGGGTGCTATTGGAACAATTGGTGACATTTTCCAGCTCAGACTGGTTTGGGAAGTGCCATTTTGGTGAGGTTCAGGTTTGGGGAGAGGAAAGTGGCAGCTCTGGTGCCAAGGCTGCAGCAGTGAGTGCCCGACGCTCGCCGAGCTGGGGGGTGTGGGGAGACCAGCAGTGACCAGTTCAGAACACCATCAATACTCCACAGCCCAGAGCTGGAGGATCCATGGAGGAAGGAGCTGGTGCTGGCCGAGCTGATGGTTCACCCCCATGGGCTGCAGCCAGGGAACCAGAGGTTGAACTTCCCTGTGTGGGCACTGCTGGTGGCAGCTCCTGTGGGCACTTCTCCCCTTGAGCCTCCTTTGCTCCAGGCTCAGCACCCCCAGCTCCCTCAGCTGCTCCTCCCCACACTTGGCCTCTAGACCCTTCCCAGCAGCTTCGTTGCCCTTCTCTGGCCACACTCCATCCCCTCAAAGTCCTTCTGGGTGTGAGGGGCCCAAAACTAACCACACCCCAGATCCACTCCTTAGCGTAGCCCAGTCCTGCCTGGCTCTCTACATTCAACAATTACAGGAGTTTTTCACGTGCAAACTTCCAACCAAACCATCCCAGAGCTGCTCATCAGCAACAGCTCGTTAGTGGTGAAATGGAGTGGGGGCAGCTGAGGTAAATTGGTGCCACTTCAGCTGCTCCCAGCAGTTGGGGACTGGCTCTATAAAGCTCCACGTGGGCCCTCGCAGCTCAGCTCTGGTCCTGCTGGGACACTGAAGCACCGGGGAGGTGGAGAAGGCAGCTACTTCATAATGGGAAGAAAACAGCCACGTTGGAAACGGCCCGCAGTGAAGTAAGTGCTTTTTATTACCTGTTACATTGTTTTGAGGGCAATGTAGCAGAAAATCGAAACCTTTCCTAAGCAGCAAACGCTTCTACGGTCATGAACAGTGATCTCAGCCTACTACGGGCTTTTAACGCGTGCCTCCAACTTGGCTAAGTCCTAGAAAAGCAAATATGTGTTAACAGCTCAGTTATTACACCAGGCTGGGAGAGATGAAGCTGCTTCTGCTTGTTTTTTTGAGGAGGAAACCTTGGTCTTGCTTGGCCGAAGCAGTTAAACCGCTCTCAGGTTTCAGCTCTTTCTGCTAACACTGAGCCGAGGGTCTCTGGGGCGTTTCAGAGTCGGAGGTGGGGAAGGAGACCCAGCAAGCTGGGAGGCGTGGCTGTGCTGCTCCGGCTGGGCCTCCTCCTCCAATTCCCAAGAGAAAACCAAATTAAAAAATCCCAATGTTTTCGGTTCTGAACGAAGCTAACACCCTTCAGTTTGTGCCTGCACGTGAGATGTGGAACTCGGGTCACACTCGCTGTGTGTGTGCAGTGGGGAAAGAGCACAAGACCCCAGTCCCTCCCCGGAGCCCACCCCGCATCCCACTGCAGCCTCGGAGCACCCCAGCGTGCAGAGCTCCTCCCAGAAGGCTCCGAGCTCCCCAGCGGCTCCTGCTGGGCTGGCGTGGGCGTCACCAGCTTCTCCTGCTGTCACCCCAGCTCTTACTGGAATGGAAATGTAAGAAATAATTGGGCGTTGCTCTGTTAAACGTTTAAGAAACAAACAGCAAAATGCAGCAGGGGCAGAGGGAGAGTCTGTCGTGCTTGGGGCCTCAGCTGGAGCTGCTGGGGGTGCTCCTCATGGTCAGGTAGAGGACTTCTTTGTGGAAGCTGGCTTGTGCATTCACCAGGTGAAAGAGAGTGAAGAAGCTGCTGTCCTCCTCGTCCCGGTCCCCTGCCAGGGCAGAGAGAACCATTTTCAAACCATTAGTGCAGCTCAGTGGTGTCTCTGAGGACAACTTTTACTCACACCATGAATCACCAGCCTCTGCTTGGATTTGGGAGCCCCCAGCTCCTGAGGGCAGGACAGCTGTGACACCCCACAGGACACGCTCCAAAACCCCTTCACCAGCTTGTCCAAGAACAATCGTGTGATAAGACAGAGCTCTGTCCTGTTGGATCTGGCTCTTCCTCTCCATGGTCATGGAGGTTTTATCATGGACAGGGACCAGCTGCAGGTCGTGGAGCTGAACAGGCCAGTGGTTGCCCAGCCCAAAAGGCCCTCGGGGCCCATGCTCTGGTGGGATGTGTCTTAAAAGACTGTTGGTGTCACCATCTGTGGCACAAGGGATGTCCCAGTCAAGGGAGGCTGGTTAAAACTAACATCTCTCTCAGTTAGGACAGCTGAGGGGTTATTTTATGTTCTCCACAGCTCTCCAGTGTTGCTGTGGCTGAGGAGGAGGAGGGAGGACAGGCTGTGATGGCACACTGACAGTGTTGGCACAGCTCTGCCAGCACAAGCTCCTGGCCCAAGTGCTCACCCTGGCTCCCAGGGCTGTGGCCTTACCAGACAGCACTGCCTGCAGCATGTCTATGACCATGTGGGCAAAGGTGTTCTCCACACACTGCAGGAAGTTGTTTCTCTCCCCTGGGGTGCTGAACACTTTGCAGACCTTCTGCATCATTTTCACTGCCCAGTCCATGCAGTACAGCTCCTTCTCACAGACCTGGCACACACAGGACAGGTGGGGACAGGGTTTGTGAGGAGTGTGAGGAGCAGCTGAGGGAGCTGGGGGTGCTGAGCCTGGAGCAAAGGAGGCTCAGGGGAGACCTTCTGGCTCTGCACAGCTCCTGACAGGAGCCTGGAGCCAGGGAGGGGGTCGGGCTCTGCTCCCAAGGGACAG